ATAACTTACCCCTGGGAGAAAGGAGTTTGTTATTGTAAATAACTACTTGTTTCTTCTCACATTCTTTTTCTCTCCCCTCTCTACCTCTGCAGACTGGGAAGGTTTATATAAAGTTAGTAGTTTCTTTAGACTACTGTGAATGTTTCCTGGAATTCTTTTTCATTCCTTTAGTGTATTGTAAGATGAAACCAAATTATTGCTGTCTTCCCCTTATTACTTTGGAGCTATGTTTGATATTTTCAATTTGGGCTTTTCCTGGAAGAAATAATGGAGCGCTTATGTTATAACTCTTGTTACCTACTGAAAATTTTAGGAGCTGTAGAAAAAGATGAAGAGCCGTAATTAATCTTAAAAAGAAAATAAAAGTAGACCCATTGTGTACCCTGTGTTCTTGAATATCTGTCAAATGATAATAACTGAAGCGTAACGGCAGGATTCAAAATAGAAATTAAATTATGATTTAAATAACTGCTTATCTAATTTTGGAAAAATTAATGAGAAATAATATTTCCACACTCTTCTTTATCTGCTTTCCTTTCTCGTTTTCTTTCTTTTCTTCCAATTCAATAAACATTTATGGAGCCCCTATCATGTTCTAGGTCTATTCAATTTCTATAATCTGAGGTAACCATATGATGACTGGCCCCCAATTTTTTTCAAATGTTCCTTGTATATGGAATATCAAAATACTAATGAAAAGCATAGATACAGTTAAAAGTCAACATTATTTTTATTAATTATAAAATATATATAGATGAATTTACAAAAGGATCATCTTTGAAACAAGAGAGATGTCCTTCGCCCACTGATGATATCTGTGATGGATAGGGTCACTATCAACATAAGTACAAGGCTTTGGGGGAAACGTTTTTCTTTTTAGAGAAATTTTTGCTACAGGGTGCTTGTGGCCAGTGGAGAAACAGAGAGATACAGAGAGTCAAAGCAAGAAATCACTCCCCAGGGGGGATGGCCACACTGCAATCCCTTCTCCTCCATTCCCCTCTTGAGATTTTTGGGCACATACACACACAGGCACACACGCACGCACGCACACACACACACACACACACACACACACACACACACACAGAGACACCCCTGATGTGTTTTTCAAGCCGCTGAGTCCTGGACTCAACCCACTCAGTTGGCCAGCCTCTTAACCACCACGCCACCAGCTGGGCTCATGAGAGAGGATATTTTTGGCAAGACCTCACTTACCATCTTGTTCCTGACCCAGCTTCTCAGATAGCTTAGTCACAGGTGCACAGCACTGTGCCTGGCTCTGTTAGGTCGATCCCAGAACTGGATCGACTGCAACCCCAGCCTCACACGACAGCTCCCACTGCTTATACCACTGTAGATAGGCCTCCTAGTTTAATTCTTGATTAAGAGCATGATTGCTTTAAGAGCAAACTAAGGATGCTGAGAAGAGAGCCGGAAAAGGAGTAAACAATAATGGAGGAATGATATAAATTAGGAAAGCTAGAACAATAAGATTATCTCCCTTAAAGGAGCAAAGACAAAGAAAATACGTTGCATAATATCTTTTGGTACTTCAATGATTTTCATACATAGAGTGGTGAGCAGTCATTCCTTGGCATTTTCCCAGACAGTACAAGGAATGGTTTAAAGTGATTTAAGAGGAATTTACATTAGTCTGCATTCACTCCTATAGTGGGGAGTCTGTGCATCTTAAACTTTTGCCTGATTCTCCAATTTTGAGCCCCAGGTTAGAACAAGAGGATTTTATTTCATTCTGAGTATGACAGTAATGAGGAATCTGTGATTCCTGGATGTCCCTAAGCACATCCTTCTTGAACATTTTCTGTCTTTAGAAATTCTTCCATATACAATACACTAATGAAAAATAATTAGATATCCTCCTAAGGTGATTCTTATTCCACACCTGCCAAGAGTTTCCTTCTCTGCTTCAGAACTGAGATTCAACCATTTTTCTGATATTGTTGGCTTATGGTAGACTATGTGTTATTAGTCAGCTGTATGGCACTTTTGATGAGTAGTAAAGAAGAGAACAAGATCCCTATCTTCACAGACTATACAGACTAGTGAGTGAGACGTGGTTATCTCAGCTGCAAAACAAGTATGGTAACCTGTGACTCATCATTTGATATTGTTTGCTTATGGTAGACTATGTGTTGTTATTAGTCAGCTGTATGGCACTTTTGATGAGTAGTAAAGAAGAGAACAAGATCCCTATCTTCACAGACTATACAGACTAGTGAGTGAGACGTGGTTATCTCAGCTGCAAAACAAGTATGGTAACCTGTGACTCATCATTTCCACCAAGCCTCCATGTGTTTTCCTCCTTCTCCTCTTCTGCCCCCTGTTTCATTGATTGTCCCCATGATTCAGAAACCTCAAAATCATCCAAGACATACAACTAAATGTTCCCAAGTCCTGCTTCCTCTAAATCCCTCCTTCTCTTTAAACCTCCCTTTTTCTCTGCCCCACAGGCCCTCTCTCATCAGAACTCACTGATTTCTCCATCACCCTCTCACTATTAATAATATGCCGACCTAGACCCTTTCTGCCTAGTCCCCTGGTCACTGCTTCTAAAGTGAACTTTCTAACTTGAAAATTAACATATCCATTGGGGTGCTTTTGTCTGCAAAATAAAACAGAACACTCAATTCAGATTGGTAGTAAGGGGATTTTTATAATTCACTTTAGAAGAACTCTGAAATGGGCTGTTACAGGGTGCTTAATTTACTCATTCAGTTGGATCAGACCTTGGATTGTCACATCTTTTTATGTTGCCATCCTCAGCATGTTGACTCTTGTCTTCAGGCTTGTCACCCATGGTGTTGACATAGCTGCATTTGTTCCAAATAACACATTCTCACACGTTGTGCAGTAATGGAAGAGAAGGTGGTCCTTAATTGATATCCCTATTTAAAAGTCAGGGATTTCTTTTTTTCCTCAGAAGCCTTAAAACAAGTTTCTCCTTAATCCTATTGGTTAAAATTGTGACACCTGTCCTTGGCTAAACCATGAAACGGCAATGGAGTGTAATTACAAAGAGTGGCTTATGTCGAGTGGAACTCAATCTCCAACAAAAGATGTAGGTTCCTGATACATGAGAAAAAGTAGGATTCTTTAGAAAATGATAAGTATTTTCTTGGATAAACTATTGAGAGGAGCTACAATACCTGATCAGTTCTGCTTCTTTCATTTTTTTCTATTTTTTTCTTTCTATTCTTTTTTTTCATCTTAATTTAATCATGGTACATCTTTACAGTGTACAAAATGGTTTTTCTCAGCATGAAACAATGCATATTAATCTGCTTCTTTCTTAAGTCCTTCAGTGGCCTCCCCATCATCTCCAGATGTGTTACTAAGGTGTTTACTTAGCATGGAATTCAAGACCATTTTGTCTCACTCTCTGGCTAGTGTGCAGCCTGCCCCCCCTTCACAGTCCCTCGGTTTGCTCTCTCTCCACCATGTAGGTCTATATGAAGTTCCTAGCAGGTCCTCGTGCTCTCACAGTTTGTGCCACTGGACCTGTCCTAGACTGTATCTTCCCCCGCAAATCCCTATTCACTCATGAGTCCACTCCTTTCCCCCCTTCATAAGCCTTCTCTAATCTCTATAGTTCAGGTAAGTAGCTCTTGGATCTGCTTGCATAATGCCCTGTGCTCACCTCTCAGCGTAGCACTCACTCAGCTCTTATAACTGTGAGTTGGCCCCCAGAATTCTCAGTGCCTGAGAAGTGTATGGTCTTCAACAAAGTGTCTGTGAGTCAGATGCCGAGTAAGTAGGATCTAGGTTTGTAGGAAGAGTAAGAAAATGCAAAGAAGTTAATTATCTGCAATGCATTGACAGTCATAAGTTATGATTATGTACTTTAGAAATAACAGGGCTTTATTGATATGTTCTCTGTCCTTACATACTAAATTGTTCTTAAAATCATATTTTAATTTCTCCCATCTTTTCTGCAATAATTCAGACTCCACTGAATCTATTGAATGCAGATTACTCAGAATTTCACATATTTTCTATCTTGCTTATTTCTGTCCAATCCTCATGTAGCACTCAGCAGAACTAAATTAAGACTCTCCATGTATTCATTTCCAAAGGCTTTTCATCTAAAATGTTCCAAGACAGAAGAAGATCAGGACACAAGTAGGAATGGTGGTGTTGAGTAAATTGAGGGTTCAGCGTCAACCCAGACTCATATGTTTCCAAGTCACCAGATAGAGTAGTGCAATGCAGCAGTTCCATGTCCCCTGCTGTCCCTAATTAAAAGATCCTGCCCTTATGGTGAAAACACTCTCTGCAGTGGTGTTTGAAGAGCTCGATGCTCTGTGGTGAGCAGATCTCACCCCACTGAGAACTTGAAAAAGGTATTCTCTGATTCGTGACTGTAGCCCTTGGCCTTCATTTAAATAGGCTGGGGCAACTTCATTCACTCAATAAGCATGATTTGAGTGTCTACCACAAACCAGACACTGTTTCCATACTGAAGACAGAGTATGAAAAAAACTTACCATATCTCTCCCCTTGTGGTGTTTACATCATGGGGGAGGTATGGGGCAGTGGGAGGAGACAGGCTGTAATAAAGAAATAGTCAAAATTAGAGAAAAATATGGAGAGTGATGAGGCTTATACAGAGAATTTGTTGCCTTTAGCTATTGTTTGAAGTACCCACTTTCACTTCAAAGTTAATACACTTGACATTGGATCTCCTTCACTGGATTATGGAACAAGAGAGTATTTTATTCACGTTTATATATCCATACCGCCATTATGACCTGGCACATAAAGGCATTCAATGAATGTTTGTCAACTAGTTGTGATTAGAAGATGAACACAAGAAAAACTGATAATTAAAGGAAGTTTTGACAGTGCCAAGATAAATAACACATTAATAATAACTGTGGGAGCTCATAGCACACAAGATAGAAAAGAGTTGAAAGAAGGGAGTTTTGGTTGGATATTGGAAACTATGCAATAGCAGAAGAGACGAAGATGATAGAGAAAGGCAGACCTGGTAGGAGAAATGGTATGAACAAGGCAGATGTCCCTGTAGGGGATGGTTAAGAAAATAACTTCACTGGGTAGTTAATTTTGGAGAGAAGTGCGTGATGAGAAGAGTTGAGTATCTCTAGGAAAAAAAAAAAAAGTCATACATTTCAGGTTGAAAACTCTTGTAGATGATGCAAAGTGGGCACCAGTCCTTAGTAGAAGGAGGACATGATGAAGGCAGTGTTTTAGATAGAGTCCATAAGGCTTATGCCAAGGCACATCTGAACCACACTCAGGTAGGAGGCTCAAAGCCAGAGCACCTGGAGGGAAACCAGAGCTCAAGGAAGTAGCAACAGGTTAGAAAAATTACTTTAAAAAAACAGAGAATGGGGGACCAGCAGTTAGCCTAATGGCTATGTTGCTGGACTCCCATGTAGTCGACCACGGTTCGCGTCCCGGACCCGGTGGCTTAAAACTCACGCCGGGTGTGTGTGTGTGCGTGCCCAAGATCCCAAGAGGAGAATGAAAGAGAAGGGATTGCGGCATGGCCATCCCCCCCAGGGGGGTGATTTCTCGCTTTCTGTCTTTCTGTCTCTCTCTGGCTGGCTGGCTGGTTGGCGAGCGCATGCGCCCTATAAGCAAAAGCCTCTCAAAAAAAAATAACAAACAAAACAGAGAATGGCATACCCTAGCTCTGTTTTCTGCACTGTGGTGACACTTTGACACTACTTTAGTTTCTTGACCTACTTCCCTATGCCTTCTAATAATGTAACCTAGAGAAGTTTTATTTGTCTGTCTACCCTGTTCAGGGTTTCAAAGTTAGCTCTTCTGGGTTCCCTTCCCATGCAGTTGACTCTTTATAGGTTTCTTTTAATACTTTATAGATACTCTTACTGATTCCTTATGTATCACTTAATTCCACATGTAGCTATGTTATGTATAAACTATGTAGGGTACAAAAATAAGATATGCCCACCCCACCCCATCCCCCTGCAGTAGCACACACTGGCTGATGCTCCTGCTAGCCACTTAGGCAACATGGGAGGCCTGGGTTTAATTCTCAGCCCAATCTGAAAGCCAGGTATACTGGATTGTGCCTGTAGTCCCAGCTACTCAGAAGGCTGAGGCAGGAGGATTATGACATAGTGAGATCCTGTCAAAAATAAATAGGTAACAAGATATGGTGCTTTCTCTCAGGAGCTCACAATTGAGAAGTGACTGTGATTTGGTTCACTTAATGATCGTAATAAGTAAGAGGATATTGTGATATGATTCCGATAAATAATTTTGTACCTGTTAACCATAAATTTCAGGTTGAAAACTGAAGTCTCTCTATCCTTTTCCAGTCCCCCACTTTCCAGCTTCTAGTAGTCATTATTGTATTGTCTACTTTTATACCCCAACTGCTCTCCCACATTCAGAGTATTTTGAAGTGAATTCCCAACATAACATCGTTTGTTTTCATTTCATTTCATTTTATTTCTTCCATGAGAGAAAATGAGATGGGCACCTCCAACAGAGTCTCCATGTTGTAATCCTCCCTCAGCCTCAACCAGCCCAGATCACGGGCATGCACACATGAACCTGGCATGTTCAGGGAGGTCTCTGGATATAAATGAAGGACCTTCCCATGTGGGCCCAGTTGCCTTGTTGCTGTGCCACTGTTTGGCCACCATATCACTTCTTGTAAACATTTTAATTTCTATCTCTAAAAGGTAAAGATTCATTTTTATATACAAAGCTATAATATTATTATTTCACCTAAAATATTTTACAGTGATTTCTTAATATCATATTCAATATATGATCCATTTTCGAATGTTTCCAATTTTCTCTACATGTTTTTTAAAAAAGCAAAACAAACAAACAAAAAAAAAAGTTTTGCTTTTTTAAACCAGGATCCCAATAATGTTCAAACAATGCAATTGCTTGATTTGTCCTGAAACTCTCATTTTATTCAAAGGTTCAGCCTTCATCTTTTTTCCTTACCACTTGTTACAAAAAAAAAAAAAGTAATTAGTCCTGATTCCATTTCCATGACATTATTTACCGCCTTCCCCTATCCCTTGTATTTCCTGTGAAGTGATAGTTATTAGATCTGAAGTCTTGCTCTGATTTAAGCTTGATTTTTGGGGGGCAGGAGTGGCAGTGAAGAGAGGGTAGGCAAGAATACTTTTTAGGTGTTACTGTCTATTTCCACTTGGAGCGATGTCTAATTGTTTCTCTTTTATGATAGTAGCTGTTGACGATTATTGCCTAGATCCATTATTTCATTGCAGTATATTTTAGATGATATATCTTATTAATCCTCCTTTATTTATTAGTTTAAATAGTTCTGTGAAAAAGAACATTATGGGGAACCAGCAGTTAGCGTAATGGCTATGTCGCTGGACTCCCACGTAGTCGACCGCGGTTCACGTCCCGGACCTGGTGGCTTAAAACTCATGCCGGGTGCGTGTGCATGCGTGCCCAAGATCCCGAGAGGAGAATGGAGGAGAAGGGATTGCGGCATGACCATCCCCCCTGGAGGGTGATTTCTCGCTTTCTGTCTCTATGTCTCTCTCTGTCTGGCGAGCACACGCGCCCTATAGTGAAAAAACCTCTCCAAAAAAAAAAAAAGAACATTACGCTCATCAACTATTTGATTACTCTGCTGTTATTTTCTTCTTTCTACTTCGTATCACAAGCATAGGGTAGATGGTGTGACAGTGATACTGTGCTCCTGGCTGGTGGAGGCTGGGGGTGGACCTCAGAGTGAAGACCCTGTTGAGTCTTTCTCTCTCTCTCTCTCTGTCTCCCTCTTCTTTATCTCTCATGCAAAAAATAAACTTTTGAAAAAGGTAAAATAAATATTCCATTCTTTCTCATTATTTACTGAATTTAAAACTCATCTGTTGGTTCCCTAGTGTCCTCCCAAGATGGTTAATAGATTTATTTTTGTGTCATTATTAACTGACAGATTTTAAAATATTTGATGCTTTTTAGTCTGTTGAAGTAATTGTTATTGATGCTCAGATTGTTCTACCTTTGGCCAATGGAGGCTTCTTTCAGCTGCTTCCTGAGTTTTAAAGGACATTTCCTCTTCAGATCTAAAATCAGTGATTTCTCCAAAGAATTCAGTTTCTTTTAGTATTTAGAGTCTTAGCATTAAGTATGCTTATTGCTACAGGGTTGCTCATTGTTACAGGTCATTTTGGCAAACAGAATTAGTTAACATGTTTGTTTTCCCTCTAAAGAAAAATATTATTAATTATATTTTATATATTCAATTTCAATATATTTAGAACTACAAGGTTGCACTTAACCTCACTGATGTTATATTTGTATCTCCTTTCACTGCCAAAATCCTGGTTCTCGATGGAACAGTATAATCACTCATTTGCTTTAACCCACATCACACATCTAATAGTCTTACAAAAACAAAACCGACACAATTGCCAACAGGATGGCTATTGAAAACAGTTTGGTTTTGTAGATCTTTTTGTCTTTAGTAAGTATAGTCCACTGGAGAGGTAACAATTCTGTTAAACTGTTATGCAGATTGCTCTGAACAAGATAATATTTTCTTCTTTCTTATTTTATGTTTAAACCCCAAACTACTGATTCCTAAACTGTTTAAGCATTTATTTCTATTTTTTCTTTATAAAGTGGGAAAGATACTAAAATAGGAATTATGAAAGAATTTATTAATTACCTTGGAGTATAATAGTTGGAGCCTCAGGGTACTACTGCCTGTTCTATCTTCTTAGGCTTGATTTAAACAATTTTGCAGTTTCATTCATTCGAGAAATACCTAGAAAGTGCTATATGGCAGTTAGATAAGAGGTTTAAGGAAAGAATTTAATATATATTGAAGTCTACTCTGTGTTAAGTATTATGCTAGGTGCTTTACATACATTATCTCATATAATTTCATAAAACCTTTTTAAAATACACATTACTATTCTGTAACCACTTTTCAGATGAGACAGTTGGGGCTCAGGGAGTTTTCATTGTACAAAGCCACAAAGATATTAAGTGAGGAAGCCAGATTTAACATATAAGGTCTGTTACATATAACATGAAGTACAGTCCTGCTTCTGAGGCATTTATGAAGGGTTTATACACAGGAAGAAAAAGTATGGTAGGAGTTCAGGCAAGAGAGGCATTGAACTGCCAGGATATCACAAAAGTGGTAGCATGTCACCTGATTTTCAGGAAAAAAGAGAGTTTTGTGGAATGTTGGAAGATGAGAATGAGCAAAACTCTAAACCAAGGAAGTACAATGGGTCCTTGAAATAGTCATAGTTTGGTTTGGCCAACATTTAGATTAATTTATGGAAATCATCATAGATAAAGACTGCCTGAGACCCCAACTCAGATCTGAATGCCAGTCTGAGGATTTAAAACAGCAAGAAACTTTCAAAGGTTTTAAGCAGAAATGAGACATGATGGCACTCAGTCCTAGCCACTGGGTAGGCTCCATCTAACCCAGATTTCCTCCTTTGAGATCAAGACAAGATCCAACTTCATATATCCATAGCTCTCACTGATCGACTGCATGTCTTCTAGCAATCGTTTGGTAAGGTTGCATTTTTTTTTTTTT